ATTCCAAACATTCATCCACCATACTAGGTTTTGGCTGGCTACAAAGACACAACCTATATCTCAATTGTGAAAATTGAGATATAGGTGAATCCTGGCCCACTGTCTTTCTTCCTGTCTGCAATCTGTCATCCCTCCTTGCCCAACCCCAGGAAATTCACCTGTTGATGAATCCCCAGAACTGAGCCAAGTTCCAGAGGATTATGGATCTTAAACAAGTTGTCAGCAAATGCAAGGCTCTATTGCTGCCACTCCACAGATCATATGACTGTGCCATAAACTGTCTCGCTGGAGCACCTTTGCCTTCTAGCTGTCTCTTCAATGTGTCTCATCTTGAAAGAGAACCCATAGAGAAGTATATAAATGAATCTCTTGCTTCTGGCATTATTAGACATTCCTCTTTCTCCTCTGGGGGGGGGTTCTTCTTGTTTAAGAAGGATGGCTCACTCCGATTGTGCATCAATTACCATGGACTAAAGCAAATCACAATCAAGAATCCTTACCCTCTGCCAGTTATCCAGATTTCGAACCCCTCCATGATGCTAAGATTTTCACCACCACACTTGACCTCCTCAATGCCTACCACCTAATCTGTGTCAGCCAGGGAGATGAGTGGAAGACTGCTTTCAAGACCCCTCTTGGCCATTTGGAATACCTTGTCATGCCATTTGGACTCTGCAAAGCCCTACGCAATCTTTCAGGCCGTCCAATGAATCTGGACCAATGCCATTGTTGCTCTCAACCAAACAGCAGAACATAACAAGAGATACTCAGACAAGACACATATTTCCTCCTCAATACACCCCAGGTCAGAAAGTTTGGTTATTCTCCCATGCCCTGTAAAGTCCATTTCTAAGAAACTCTTACCCAGGTTCATTTTTCCATCATAAATGCCTGCTATCCATTTTTGCCTACCCCAAAGTCTTCATATGCACCCAACCTTCCGTGTTTCCCAGATAAAACAGTCCATATGAGCTCCTTCTGAGAACCCTCCTCCCGTCCGAGTCATTAATGGGCATCCAGCTTTTGACATCCAGTGGATCGTGGCCTCCTGTCGGTGAAGTCTGTATCAGTATCTTGTTGACTGGGTATGGTACAGTCCTGAGAAGGATTCGTGGGTGCCCCAGTATATCATCTTGACTCAATCTCATAGCTGACTACGAAGCCTCCCTTGCGTCCACTTCTTTTGCCTGAGTGTTAACCCATGTTGTGACATCAAGCCCACTTTGTGAACTTCTGAGTTGCTTTCTGTGTGAAGTAACTGAGCCCAGTGTTACTCCTTGTTTCCCTCTCTTCAGGTCTTCCTGAGTACCACCTTAAATTTATCTGTGAAAACTCTCATGCATTGTCAGACCAGAAACAGTCAAAATTTTCAGCTTGGATTCTGACTGGTAACTTTAAGCTCCTCCATCAACGTTGTACCACCTTTCCGCTCTCCAACAGTTCTGCAGCAGCCACCGATCCTCAGCCTACTATTTTGCAGTTTTTACCTCAAGACCTACACCCCACTCACCTCTCTCTGGTGGACTTCCTTGTCATTCTCTGCAAGTTGCTTATTCACCATTTCCTCTTACCTTCATCTGCTCAACTAATTTATTTCTTCCAATTTATTTTTTCTTCCAGAGGTTCCCCACATTGCCTATGTACCAAGGACCACCTCCTCAATGCCTACCATTGCAAATAAACCCCATTTTACTGAATTCTGTCCTGAGTCTTTCTCTGTATGTGGGTCAGAAGCCAAAACAGAGATATGACAGATGCAACTGAACTTCTATACTGTGTCTGGTGTTAGAATTATGTTGATTATCAATAGGATGTATTTACCTTCTCTCTTCACATTTCCCAGTTGACATATGTGAAGGCTGCGAAAAGGATTGGAGCTGGCATGATGGTCGATGTTTTCTGTATGTGAATAATGCAAAATCCTGGGCTGCAGCAGAGGTACAACAGATGTGATGATCTCAGCAGATTTCCTACATTCAAAGGAAATGTAAATTTATTGATATAAAGACAATAAGATTCACCAACAATAAGGTTCCAGAAACTGATTTCCATTAAACAAATAGATCCATAATTTCTAAAGGTTGATATTCAGCTGCACCAACTGTCTCACTGCACAGAGGAAAGTTTAAACCAGTGTTGCCTTTTTCAGAGATTCTGCCTCACAATGGGTGCAAATTTGGCCTCATTCCACAGTGTAGCAGAGTACAACTTCATCAGAGACTTTACCTACAAAGCAACTGGAAAACACACACAAACTTGGGTTGGCGCTTATGATTCAGCAAAGGTGAGAATTTAAAAACATACAAATATCTCCATTTGGTCGTTTTCTGTCAAGATGTATTTCTCATGGCTCTTTTTGTAAAAGCTTTGAGACGACATTTGTTGTGAATTGTTGTCATATTAATAAACTGAATTGAATTGAACAGGTGTTCCTAATAAAGTGGTCAGTTCAGTCAAAGACATTCCAGTTGATTCTGGTTATAATGCAGTTAACTGCAGATTAGAATATCAGTTGGTCAACAGTTACCTGAGGAAGAAACCCAGTTTGTTGTATTGAATAACTGACTATGCTAAACTCCCTCATGCTGAGGAAGCATGTGGCAACAGTGGAGAGGAATAAGAGGAGACCTCCAACAGAACCAGAACCGGCTTCTGTTTCCTCCGGCTGCTCTCAGCTGAAGAAATATCAATGATCCAAACACAGTTCATGTTTCTATAGTGAGTGGCAGAAGTCCAGGTTGGTTCTGTGGGATTTATTTGCATTGGAACTGAAAACTAAGATGTTCTTTCAGGAAGGCAGGTGGCTGGAGTGATGGCTCCAAGTTTGTGTTTAATTCCTGGGTTTTCATGAGCCAAACAATGCTGGAAAAAGTGAACACTGCATGGACATCAACATACATGGTATTTATTACTACAAATGTACTAAAATTATTTTTTTAGTTAATGCATGTTTTTATCATATCTTTGTATCTGGTGTCTTAGTAAGTAGGAGTTTGTCCTGTAATTGGTGGGTTCCTGGTTCGAACCCCCACTCCATTCATGTCCGTTGTGTCCTTGGGCAAGACTCGTCATCTGCCCTGCATGCTTCTGAAACCAATCAAATCATGTCAAAGTCTTTGTCAAAGGTTTGCAGTCAGGATTTGTCTCTTTGTCTTTTTACAGAACGAGATTATGTGAATGATTCTGACTGTTCTGAGAAGCTTCCCTTCATCTGTGCCAGACTCATGTAACCTGATGCCTAATAATCTGAACCATATGGTTTTCCTACTGGTGATGTCACTTCCACCTGGATGTCAAGCCTCGATGACATCACTGCTGGAAGAACCTGATTCACTTCATTTCTCACTTAAATAAATGTTTCCTTTCTCTGAAATCTGATTGATTTAATTATAGGATTTAAAATATATCAAAATTCCATTTCAGCAGCAACTAAGTGGTAATATTTGTAAATCTCAGCTATAAATTTGTACTGAAAATTATCAGAATATCAATGCATTTGTAAAGTAATAAAAATCTATAAAATATGAAGTTTTCACAAACTCTGAATCACATGTTTTGCACAAATTCACTCGTGTCACAAATATTTTACACCTAATGAAACCTTGTAAAAATGTTTGTCACCATAAACCTCTGGAACACCAGAGCATCTTAGTTAAAAATCTGTAAAAAAAAAAATTTAAATTTATAAAAATAAATGCAATGTATCTTAAACTCTTTTGGCTGCGTTTCCATGTTGGAAAGTTAACTAGAACCTAAGATTATACATGCAAAACTATTTTCAAATCCCTTAAATTAAATTGCATTATTTTTTATCATTCATCCTGCCATTGTCTACTCCTGCTTGTCCTGGAGAGACTGAAGAGGGCCTGGTGCGCCTGGTCAGAGGTTTGTTTCCTATTAGAAGCTGTTGGTGAAAACAGAATCTCCTCCTCAATCAGGTCATCAGAGGATTTGGCTGGCAGCCTTGATCAACAGTTTGTTGACATTTATGCTGATCACTGCACATCTCTAGTGTGCACACTTCAGAGAACCTGTAATTCCAGGGTTCCTTCTGCAGAATCCTAAGTAAACCTGGGTGATGGTTTATTCCTTTGGCTGGGATTAAGAACTGGACAAACTCACAGTAACCTGTAGTTTTTGATCTTTAGCTCCTGGGACATGAAGGAGCCTTCTCTTTGCTGGTGTCACCATTCAAATGGAGGATGACAGAGAATGTTTGTCCTGGTTGTGAGGTTTTAAGGTCTCCATCACATCACAGAGTTTCCTTTCTGAAACTCCTGCTCTTCAAGGGTTAACATAGTACATGATTGAATCTGTTGTTATAGTTATCAGTTCTTCATGGCCAACACTGCTAAGAGGCCTCGTTGATTCAGAAATGGTCGGAGTCAGAAGGACTCTGGCTAAAACGGACAAAGTCTCCCTCTCTGTGCTGAAAGCTGCTGCTGAACTGTAGAGCTCTCTCAGTGACAGACTTCAGAAAGGAGCGTTTTACAGAACGAGATTCAGCTGCACCAACTGTCTCACTGCACAGAGGAAAGTTTAAACCAGTGTTGCCTTTTTCAGAGATCTGCCTCACAATGGGTGCAAATTTGGCCTCATTCCACAGTGTAGCAGAGTACAACTTCATCAGAGACTTTACCTACAAAGCAACTGGAAAACACACACAACTTGGGTTTGTGTGTGGAAGAATTTACAGCCATCACTGCTGTGTACATTCACATGCCGGTATTGTCAATTTATGTAGTTTTTACTCACTTCAAAGAACATTTTAGCTGATATCTGCAGCATAAATGTTTTACTGTGTGTTACAATCTTTATTGACACTGTAAACAGTCTGTTATTGTTGGAATGATTTTATAGTTTATTATCATGTATTTGTTTTACCTTTCTCCTATATTATCATCCATTCATTTGCCTTTGTATTTCCATTTTAATGGTGTGCTTTGAGTGTTTGCAGAAAAGGAAACTGTTTGAAGCGGCCTGCTGAAGAGTGCTTACTCTGACATGTAACCAGGGTATTTCTAACTTTCATAAAAGCAGGAAGGGGGCTCGACTGAAGCTTCAGAGCATAGTTTTGAATTCTGTAACTGGGTTTCAGCTGTGTTCTCCCTGATTCCTGTCTCTTCTTTGTGTCTGTATTCAGGTATTTATACCTAACATAAATTGGTCCTTCGAGCCAGATTCCAACATGCCTGCAGTTTCCAGGGGAGGAACGGACATCAGAAGACCGTGGCCACGGCAGAGTCTCACATATTCATTCCAGGACTGATCTCCACCCTGCCTGCTGGGACCCAATGGCTGATGGAAAGGAGCGAAGGAGACAAGAGTCTGTGAGTACTGTTTTGATTGAAATGTGAGCGAACGATTGAGAGTCATTGCGCGTTTAAACCTTATAATCCTAGACACTGATAGATAATAAATAAGAAGGACGACGGTGTCCACGTGAACTGAAAAATCCATAATACCAAGTGTGTGTGTGTATTAATTTAAATACCATTGGTATTTGTCCTCATACCAAATGGCAGGAGTGTAAATGGTGAACCTCTTGTGGATGTTTAAAGAATATTTCTGCTGATATCTGCAGCATCAATTTTCTATTGTGTGTTGCAATCGTTATTGTGACTGTTAATAGTCAATCTTTTCATGCTCAGATGCATTTACATATTTTGAACCTCCATCCATCCATCATCTTACACTCCCATACCAAATGCGGTCAGGGATATTTTTAACACCAATTAAATGAACCTGTTCAGTTGCACATTCCTTTGGACCAGGGTTTTCTATGTATAATAAATACATAGTATAAATGTAGAAAATTTGCCCTGACTGTACATTATTAAATTCTTGATTCTGTTTTTATATATGTAGGCCTTCGCAGTGACAGCGCTGTTATATTCATAGTGTTTATTAATATGATTCTTTTATCAAATGAAATGGTTTTATGGAGACCTTAACAAATCTGAAAACTCAAACTTCACAGAGACAGACAGATTTTTGAATTTATGTTTCAAAGTTGTTGCAAAAATTCCTAATAAACCGAACGGAGAAATTATGACAAATTTTACGCCACACTCACTGAGAACAGGAACTGTCATGTTTCACTCTAAATAGCCTCTATCTGACCCCTTTGACCTAATCAACTTGAAGGTGTGTCCAGTAACTGAAGACATGTTGACATGATGTGGTTTCCAGCTGACCCGCTTCGGTGAAGGATGTGCACTGTGGAAATGTCACAAATGACACCATTACCGTAAGTTTGGCTCTAAATTCCACAGATCCGAACTCACTGGGATCGATCCTTATCTGACCCCCAACAGAAGTCCTCAACCATCTTTGGTGAGCGTGGCCTAATTACAGCGCCCCCTACAATACTTTAAATACACAAACTTCAGAATCATTCAGCACAGTCTTGAGGCATTGAAGACCAAAAGTTATAAAAAATGTTTTGCACATCTAAGCATGTGGGCGTGGCCGACCCTGAAATCTGACCATTGCCCATGAAACATCAAGTTGCAATAACTTCTACATACAAGGTCACAGCTGCAGTGATCAATGCAATACTCTTAATGTGATGATCTTGGTCTGTTTAGGTTTGTGTCCACTTTGCTTTAGCTCTTCCTTGCATCTATTTCACCATCCTATGGTAATCATTCTACTTCCCTACATTTGCATAGATGCTGTCTTCCACAGCTGTTCCTGATTCCATAACAAATGTATTTGAATTCAATGTCATTTTCTCCTTATTACTCAGTAGAAAAGGTCACTGGTTTTCATTGTTCTGGCTGGTTACTCACAATGGCCATACTTTATGTGATCCTTCTCAGGGATGACTTAAAGCTGCATGCCAAGGATGAACTAAAAATAACTCACTCATCCTCATATAAAACTTTCTAATTGTTTCCAAAAAGTCGAGGTGATCACAGCTAAACACGGAGCAGCCAGCATGAAATCAAAAGGAATCATCTGTAGACCTCTGTGACTGGACTGTCTTGAGACACAAATCTGGAGAAGGATCCAGAACCTGCCCTCTTTTAACACAGGTGGACTGAAGCTGGTTTTTCAGTCTTCAGGACGGCCGACTGCTCTTGTCCTCTGCCACGGAGTCCTTCTGGCATGACAGATCCCACTTCTCACACCAAGCATGTGGTGGAAACTCCTTATCAAACAGGCAGACAAACTACTCAAGAATTGATAAAGTTTCAACTTTATCTTTCAAGTGTTTTATTTGAAGGCAGTCAACAGACTGAATCCAACAGAGTCAGGAAAAGCAGAGCAACATCTCACAGACGTCCTTTTTTAATCCACTTCTGTCATCAGAGAGTACATTCCATACAAGAACACAGTTCTGGACAGAGAAGCAGAAGTGGCAACATCAGCCGGTTTGGTCCGGTTCTAATCACTTCTTACGGTACGTAACTCTTCACGCTATCAGGAAAACGTCCTTGGCCGAATCCTGGAAGATTCTGCAACAACTTGAACACGTTGTAAAAAAGTGACAAAAGCGAGAACAGACATGGACTTACTCCAAAATGTCCACTTCACAGACAAACAAAGTGAAGGTATATAAAGTCTGTGTTTCCATCTCTGAGACATCCTGTGACCAGAAACTGCTGCTGGAACAGACTCTTCAACTAACCATCAGAACAAGGTAACATTTAAAGTCCTACTGCTCATGGTGATGTTTTATGTCTTGGTTGAGTTGATCTGTGATGCTAATTATGAACTTTCCTAACCATTCTTTCTACAGATGGCTGCCGGTCTTCTCTTCTCTCTGCTTCTTGGTCTGAGCTTTGGACTCTGGGATGGAGCTGATGTAAGTATGGAGAAGGACTTAAGACAATGACTGGTATGTCCCTGTTGGGAGCTTTGGCTGACTGACGTAGATCAGATGGAGCAATCTGAGCCATCACTTGGTTGATGGAAAAAACTTTGTTTTGTTGGGAATTTTGTCCTAAAACTTTGGTTTTTTCATCCACAGGCCGGATGTCGACTGAAAGGTATGTGATTCTTTTTGTTGGAGTTTCTAACATGTAAAAGACAATTTTATTGTGAGAATTTTTTTAAAAAGGTGGAAAACGTTTGGTTTCTTGGGTCATCCTTTCAGCAAAATTACAGGCCTTAATTTCTGTATAATGTAAATTAATAAATAGTTTATTTATTACTTATTGTATAGAAACATCCCATCCCACAAGGCGGATAGACAACAGTAGTTTTTTACTGAAGGCAGCTAGAAATGCTAAGAAGGCAAATTATTTTCTGAATAAATAATCAGAACCAATAAATGTGTCATTTCAGAGGCTTTTCATGGGAAAATATTTCTGTAATGACTGTCATCTAATAAAACTTTTGGGTTAAGTGCAGTATTATTAGTTGATTACTGATTTAACATTGATCATGCTTTTTTAAAATAATTATTAACTGAGTCCTTCTGGACTCCTAATTCCTAATTCCTATTTTCATAAGATGGAATTTAGATTAATTTCTCATATTTTTATGTATTTTTACCATAATGTTTGCAGCTGAACATCTTGACTTTGTTTTGTGTTTTAATTATGCTGATCAGTGGATGGATGCATTTACTTTCCCAGTTGCCGACTGTGAGGAGTGCACTCATGGTTGGAGATGGTATGAGGGTCGGTGTTTCCTGTATGTGAAGGTTAAAATGACCTGGGGTGATGCAGAGGTACAACAGATGTGATGATCTCAGCAGATTTTCTACATGCAAAAGAAATGTAAATTTATTGATATAAGAACAATAAGATTCACCAACAACAAGGTTACAGAAACTGATTTCCATTAAACAAAATAGATCCATAATTTCTAAAGGTTGATATTCAGCTGCACCAACTGTCTCACTGCACAGAGGAAAGTTTAAACCAGTGTTGCCTTTTTCAGAGATTCTGCCTTTCATTGGATGCAAATCTGGCCTCAATAAACACTTACATGAGTACCACTTCATCAGAGACTTACCTTAAATTCAACTGGAAAACACAAACAAACTTGGGTTGGAGGTCATGATTCAGCACAGGTGAGAATTTAAAAACATACAAATATCTCCGTTTGGTTGATCACTTTTTCTGTCAAGATGTATTTCTCATGGATCTTTTTGTAAAAGCGTTGAGACGACATTTGTTGTGAATTGTTGTCATATTAATAAACTGAATTGAACAGGTGTTCCTAATAAAGTGGTCAGTTCAGTCAAAGACATTCCAGTTGATTCTGGTTATAAATATCAATGATCCAAACACAGTTCATGTTTTCTATAATGAGTGGCAGGAGTCCAGGTTGGTTCTGTGTGATTTGTTAGCAAAGAAACTTTGAACTAAGTTGTTCTTTCAGGAAGACACCTGGTTTTGGAGTGACGGCTCCAAGTTTGTGTTTCATCGCTGGGGCTACAGAGAGCCAAACAATTTTGGTGGAAACGAAAAATGTATGGACATCAACATGCATGGTATTTACTACCTGTATTTTTTCATTTCGTTTAAATGCATGTTTTTATCATATCTTTGTATCTGGTGTCTTAGTGAGTAGGAGTTTGTCCTGTAATTGGTGGGTTCCTGGTTTGAACCCCCACTCCATTCATGTCCGTTGTGTCCTTGGGCAAGACTCGTCATCTGCCCTGCATGCTTTCTGAAACCGATCAAATCATGTCAAAGTTTTTCAGTCAGCATTTGTCTCTTTGTCTCTTTACAGGACGAGATCATGTGAATGATAATGAATGCTCCAAGAAGTTTCCATTCATCATCCAAATCCCCATAACATTTCTCTTCTGATGCCTAATAATCTGAACCGTATGTCTTTCCTGCTGGTGATGTCACTTCCACCTGGATGTCAAGCCTCGATGACATCACTGCTGGAAGAACCTGATTTCACTTGATTTGATCCCTGAAATAAATGTTTTGTTTCTCCGAAATCTGATTGCTTTAACTATAGGATTTAAAATATATCAAGATTCCACTAATTGGTAATATTTCTAAATCTCAGCTATAAATTTGTACTGTAATAAATAAGTGCATTTGTAAAGTAATAAAAATCTATGAAATATGAAGTTTTCACAAACTCTGAATCACATGTTTTGCACAAATTCACTCGTGTCACAAATATTTTACACCCAATGAAACCTTGTAAAAATGTTTGTCATCATAAACCTCTGGAACACCAGAACATCTTTAGTTAAAAATCTGTTGACCCCAAGCAGGATACTGCAGATGGGTCGTTATTTACAGCAGGATGATGAACCAACATGGTAGAAAATTGGTAGAATCAACTTTCTACCATGGTAATCCCATCGCTCAGACCAAAGTCTGACATTACAGCCTCATTGACGACTGTTTGTTAAGCACTGAGGAGTTATCTGAAGTTTGTATATCAGATATTGTCCAAGTGTCATTTGGAGTCTCCATTGGAGTCTCCATATGACAGTGGCGGAAAACTATTTCCAGAAAACTGCAGAACCACAGCTTGGGTGGGAGTGCTACTGGCTCACCAGTCATTGATTGTAATAGTTATTGATTTCAGCTTGAACTCATGCAAATGGCATTTGGAGTCTCTAAGCGGAGACTCCAAATGGCACTTGGACAACATCTGTACATCCTCAAAAATAAAACATGTCCAAAATGACATTTCTTTTTGTGCTAGCTTGATCAGTCTTTAGATCCAAGAGCAGAATACTCTGTTCTACAGATTTATTGTATTTCCAGTTCATACATTCAACACTCAAGGTGCATTTACAAGAAATAAACAGGAAAAATCTGGATGGAGCAAAATCTTTCAATTTCTTTTGTGTTACAAATGTAATGGCTACAAACTACTTACAATTAAAGTATTTTTGACGGCAAAAATAGAACATTTAGCTATTCATCTTCATAAAAAGAATAAGCTTTTGCATGTAGTCCAAATTGTTCAAGAACAAGCTGCTTAAATTTGGGTATACCTTTTCAGCCGTTTTGGGTGATTTTGGTACCGCCAGGTAAGGGATTAACAGTTTAGTCTTAGCTTGGTGTTTTGCATTGTAGTAATGACAGAAAGCAGAATAAGCTTATGACAATAGTGGAAGAAGAAATTCAGGAAGTTAAAAATCTGGCAGCAAGCTCAAGAACTGACAATGAGCAGTTGCAACAAGGATAGACTAGTTCAAGTGCTCTGCCGATCATTTCTTCAGCATTGCCTAATGCCCCTCGTACATATTTATCTTAGGACCCTTCTAAAATATTTGAGATGATCCAGGAATTGTGTGGTTGTATGTTGCTGTTCCAGAAGCCTTTTTTTCCAGAAAACAGCAGACAGAGAGTCTTCAGGAGTTCTCCTCACATTAATGGGTTTTATGGAGAGAGCGAAGCAGTGTGCACCTGCTGGCATGTTAAAATCTGAGACTCTGTTAAGAGACCAGTTTACTGTGTAAGTGTTGGACAGTTCCCTTTATGGTGAGTTGAAGCAGTTGGTGCGCACACAGCCGGATCGCTCTCTGCTTGATGCTTGTGCTGCAGCAATCCAGTGGGAGCATGAATGGAGGTGCCTCATGGTGTGAGGAGCCAAAGACAGTCGGTTCCGTCAGTCTATGGAGTCCAGTTGGGGGTTCATGGTGGTCCTCAGATAGCTGAAATGTGATTTATAATCAATAATTTACCTTGATGAGTTACAAGAAAACTACAAGTGGAGTCTTGCTTTGTCCTGCATTCCCTTCCCCAGTGTGAGTCTGACCTTTGGTAGCTTGATTTGCATAGGGAAGTGATAACGACATCCTGCAAGCCCTGACCAAGTTAGAAGGCAAGAACCAAACTGTGGAGTAAACAGGAGATGAACCAAATGGTTGTTAATAGGCCTCAGTGGGATTGAATGTCATAGAGCAGTGCAGACCCAGGTTGTGGTCCACAGAATTGGAAACTGTTGGGAAAGCAGATTGTTATTGAAGACAGTACTGGATGTACGAGAACTGTGAAAAAGGAAAAAGAGAAGAAAGAAAAAGAGGTAAGAGAAAATTTATAGGCGCTAATTATTCAAGAAGGGAAAGAAGTTACTGATGAAGTTCCTTTAGGACCTTTGTTATTATGTGCCAGAGTCCAGGGATGTGCTGAAAAGTATGAGGAGGCAGGACAAAATGAAGACTGAGCTAAATTTTGTCAAAAGAGTACACTTAAAAACACAAAGCGATCCAGGAGAAAATTAGAAAGTTCTGTTCAGAGCTAGCAGAGCTTTGGCAAGGAACTTCACCTTTACAAAAAGACAGAAAGCATGGTGGAGTTGTTGAAAAAAGTCATGACCTTGAACCCCCTCATAAATCCTCAACTCCTAGCTTGTATCTTGTTTTAACTGTTACATGATGCTGAGTCTAAGTTCAAACAATCCATTTACTTCAACTGGATCTCAGGGACCTTCTCTGTCAGGTGTCTCCAGGGGAACATCTAGTAGTCAGGGAGGTTATGTACCCATTTCATGATAGAATAGCAAGAAAATGCCGTTGAGAGCACAACCATTTTATAAAATGGTGGGCCGCCATTTTTACCAGTAGCTCGTCCCGTTCCACCACTGCAGAGTGTTCCAGCCAGAGGAGCTCCCTCCAGGGAGTACCCACCTCAACAGACTGGTAGTACAGCCCCTGTAATGCTAGAGGCTAATCTGCTGGGGCACTGGGTCCTGATACAGCAGCTAACAGGGTTACAGAGTCGACATTCAGCAGCATCACATCACAAACATCCAGAACAAGGATCCAGAACCTGCCCTCTTTTAACACAGGTGGACTGAAGCTGGTTTTTCAGTCTTCAGGACGGCCGACTGCTCTTGTCCTCTGCCACGGAGTCTTCTGGCATGACAGATCCCACTTCTCACACCAAGCATGTGGTGGAAACTCCTTATCAAACAGGAAGACAAACTACTCAAGAATTGATCAAGTTTCAACTTTATCTTTCAAGTGTTTTATTTGAAGGCAGTCAACAGACTGAATCCAACAGAGTCAGGAAAAGCAGAGCAACATCTCACAGATACGTCCTTTTTTAATCCACTTCTGTTATCAGAGAGTACATTCCATACAAGAACACAGTTCTGGACAGAGAAGCAGAAGTGGCAACATCAGCCGGTTTGGTCCGGTTCTAATCACTTCTTACGGTACGTAACTCTTCACGCTATCAGGAAAACGTCCTTGGCCGAATCCTGGAAGATTCTGCAACAACTTGAACACGTTGTAAAAAAGTGACAAAAGCGAGAACAGACAGTGACTTACTCCAAAATGTCCACTTCACAGACAAACAAAGTGAAGGTATATAAAGTCTGTGTTTCCATCTCTGAGACATCCTGTGACCAGAAACTGCTGCTGGAACAGACTCTTCAACTAACCATCAGAACAAGGTAACATTTAAAGTCCTACTGCTCATGGTGATGTTTTATGTCTTGGTTGAGTTGATCTGTGATGCTAATTATGAACTTTCCTAACCATTCTTTCTACAGATGGCTGCCGGTCTTCTCTTCTCTCTGCTTCTTGGTCTGAGCTTTGGACTCTGGGATGGAGCTGATGTAAGTATGGAGAAGGACTTAAGACAATGACTGGTATGTCCCTGTTGGGAGCTTTGGCTGACTGACGTAGATCAGATGGAGCAATCTGAGCCATCACTTGGTTGATGAGAAAACTTTGTTTGTTGGGAATTTTGTTCTAAAACTTTGGGTTTTTCCATCCACAGGCGGCTCAAATGAAAGGTATGTGATTCTTTATTGTTGGAGTTTCTAACATGTAAAAGACAATTATATTGTGAGAAGTTCTTTGAAAAGATGGGAAACTTTTGCTATATTGGGTCATCCTTTCAGCAAAATTACAGGCCTTAATTTCTGTATCATGTAAATTAATAAATAGTTTATTTAGTACATATTGTATAGAAACATCCTGTAGAAGCCTAAATTTAGTCTCTGGGGATATCTTGTGAATTTGCATATCTAATTGGAGTGGAAGATTTGGGGTGTGGCTAAATTGAAGGAGCTGGGCAGTTGGAGTGGAGCCACACAGTTTTTTGACCTCACTTTTTCTTTCTCTTTTTTGCTTACCTTTTATTAGTGCGGAATGTAAAATTTTGTACTGTTTTTATTTCTGAAGTAAACCGTTCAACTTATCAAGAGAATTCAGTCTGTTTTTCGTTTTGGGTTTTTTTTGAAGTAAGATGAAGGGAAAAGACGGAGAGCGTCAAGCTGATGGCTTCGACAATTAGGAAACAATACATCCCATCCCACAAGGCCGATAGGCAACAGTAGTTTTTACTGAAGGCAGCTAGAAATGCTAAGAAGGCAAATTATTTTCTGAATAAAATAATCAGAACCAATAAATGTGTCATTTCAGAGAGTTGGGAACCGGGGTTTTGGGACCTGTGTTGGGTTTTCTATTTCCTTCCGGCTCCTCAGGTTCTCCACTAGATGGAGCCATGGGGCTGTTGTCACCGAATCTACTGTTTATTGATCGCACCTGCAGATAAACCCCGTTGTTATCCTGGCTTTAAGAGGAGCAGGCTGTCAGTCCTTTCACGCCTGAGTGTTATCTACTATGTTACTTCAAGCCTCAGAAGAATCACCGCTCTGGTTTTTTCCTCAAGTTTTTTGTGATAACCTACAAGCTGACCTTTCTGATTTTTCCCAACGTCCTCTCGGTGTTTGGATCTGCTCTTTAGTGTCACTCTGGTTACCTTCTCACGTCTCAAGATCTTACATCCATTTCCTGGTTACATCTTCCATGACTGACTACTCCCTAACGCCTCTTCTTCAAGTACTCCCAGTCCGCCCTCCAACTCCACCTCACTCTGGTTTACCTGAACAGAAACCCCACTTGATCTCAATCCCCGGAAACCTCCAACTTCCACCCTGGCGGATCATCTCCTTGATCATCATTGAGCGAGAGAATTTAGTTTGCAATTCTGTTGTCTCCACTACCTTCTCACCTCTCGTCTATTCTGTTTTCAGTGATCCATTTGTTCCCAGTCTGCTGGGTCGGCCAACCTCTTTCAGAATAGAACTCTCTCATACAGCTCATGATTCTGTTCTAGGTGTCTCTGTGATCAACATAATCGACCTAAGCAATGTCTGGATCAATTAACGCACCTCTTGCACAATGTTCAAGCAGCTTCTCCTCCAATTCAAGTGTACCAGCGATTTTTCGTCTCCTGAGAGTGTTATGCATGTGGACCAAAAGCCTACCTAAACCATGACACAGAAGTTTTACATGTAACAGTCATCTACTAAAAACTTTTGTTGAAATGAAATATTTTTACTTGAATTGACTTAATTTAATATTGATTATACATTTTTATTATTAACTGATATAATTCCCATTTTTAAAACATGTCATTTGGATTAATTTCTCATATTTTTATGTATTTTTACCATAATGTTTGATGCAGCTGAACTTCTAGACTGTGTTTGGTGTTGAAATGATGCTGATTATCGGATGGATGTTTTTTTTCTCTTCATATTTCCCAGTTGCAAACTGCAATCAATGCTCTTCTGGTTGGACTTGGCACAACGGTCGATGTTACGTGTTTATGAACATTAAATGTCCTGGTCTACAGAGGTACAACAGATGTGATGATCTCAGCAGATTTCCTCCATTCAAAAGAAATGTAAATTTATTGATATAAAGACAATAAGATTCACCAACAATAAGGTTACAGAACTGATTTCCATTAAACAAATAGATCCATAATTTCTAAAGGTTGATATTTCAGCTGCACCAACTGACTGCACAGAGGAAAGTTTAAACCAGTGTTGCCTTTTTCAGGGACTCTGCCTCACATTGAAAGGACATCTGACCTCAATGCGCAGTACAAATGAGTACCACTTCATCAGAGACCTTATCTACAGAAAAACTGGAACAAACACACGAACTTGGGTTGGAGGTCATGATTCACCAGAGGTGAGAATTTAAAAACATACAATATCTCCGTTTGGTTGATCACTTTTTCTGTCAAGATGTATTTCTCATGGCTCTTTTTGTAAAAGCTTTGAGACGACATTTGTTGTGAATTGTTGTCATATTAATAAACTGAATTGAATTGAACAGGTGTTCCTAATAAAGTGGTTCTGTTGGAGATTCTGGTTCACATTTTCTATGAGATGGCAGAAGTCTAGGTTGGTTCTGTGGGATTTGTTTGCATTGGAACTGAAAACTAAGATGTTCTTTCAGGATGGCATCTGGTTTTGGAGTGATGGCTCCAAGTTTTTGTTTCATCAGTGGGGCCAGGATCAGCCAAGCCATACCGATGGAATTGAACACTGCGTCAACATCAACAATTTTGGTATTTATTACTGGGAAATCATAACTTGCAATTTAATCATTTCGTTTAAATGCATGTTTTTTATCATATCTTTGTATCTGGTGTCTTAGTAAGTAGGAGTTTTCCTGTAATCGGTGGGTTCCTGTTCGAACCCCCACTCCATGTCCGTTGTGTCCTTGGGCAAGACTCGTCATCTGCCCTGCATGCTTTCTGAAACCGATCAAATCATGTCAAAGTCTTTGTCAAAGGTTTGCAGTCAGGATTTGTCTCTTTGTGTCTTTACAGGACAAGACTTTGTGGAGGATTCTGACTGTAACACGAAGCTTCCCTTCGTCTGTTCCAGATCCCCATAACCTTTCTCTTCTGATGTCTAATAATCTGAACCGTATGGCTTTCCTGCTGGTGATGTCACTTCCACCTGGATGTCAAGCCTCGATGACATCACTGCTGGAAGAACCTGATTTCACTTCATTTATCACTTAAATAAATGTTTCCTCTCTCTGAAATCTGATTGATTGAAATAGAAAATTTAAAGTGTCAAGATTCTAATTAAACAGCAGCTATAAACTAATTGGTAATATTTCTAAATCTCTGCTATAAATTTCTACTGAAAATTATCAGAGTATCAGTGCATTAGTAAAGTAATAAAAATCTATGAAATATGAAGTTTTCACAAACTCTGAATCACATGTTTTGCACAAATTCACTCGTGTCACAAATATGTTACACCTTATGAAACCTTGTAAAAATGTTTGTCATCATAAACCTCTGGAACACCAGAACATCTTTAGTTAAAAATCTGTTGACCCCAAGCAGGATACTGCAGATGGGTCGTTATTTACAGCAGGATGATGAACCAAAACACACATGAATACAGACATTTTTCGGCAGACAGAGAATCAACTTTGTAACGCTGGAGATATTAGTTGGGGCCTGCTCATAGCAATGCATAAGGAGAGCAGTGACTGACTTGCGTACCGCTGCGAGCCCACCTACAAAAGTGATATCAAAACGTGCGGCTCGGCGCTGGCATTGGAGCTATTACTTTTGGTGGGATTCGGAGTTATGATGAAAAAGTAAAAAGCGAAAAACCATCAAAAAATTTTCGTCAGTTAGAAACTGCCCAAACTAGAGTGTAATCAACGTTTCGTTAGTGTGGGAAGCAGTGCGATTCTGACCCAAATAAATTTTGAAATCGCCGACACGCCCACAAATATCGCCCTATCGGTATCAAACTCGGTCATGACATAGATATGCATGCCTGCTCCGGTAAAATGTTTTCAAAATTTTCCTAGGGCTTACGGTTTTCTGTCTAGGGGCTTCAGAGCAAAGTGATGCGACAGGATTTCGACTCGCTCAGCCAGGTTCACTTCCATGTATTTCTGAAAGATGTCAGACCTCAGCGCACACCATTTTTATCTTGTCGCTGTTATTAATGTGAGTGATGTACAGATATGAATCGCGGGACTATCGGAGACGAAAGATAGCCCTCTCATACGCTTCAAACGGTTTCCGATACGTATCACGGTTTCCGAACGGGAAGCAGTTGTTCGGACTGCTTTTTTCAGTCAAAACTGACTGGGTGTCTCACAAAGATAGAATTCTTTCTGTCTCACACACATGACAGTTGCAGAGGATTAATTACTATAGCAACGAAGCACAGCAGGGCCGAGCAGCTAATTAGAACTACAAAAACGCATCACTGTAGTTTTTACTATGGCAGAGCTCTGAGGAAGGAGCTGGCCTTTAGAATTATAAATTAGAACTACAAAAACGCATCACTGTAGTTTTTACTGTGGCAGAGCTCTGAGGAAGGAGCTGGCCTTTAGAACTGCTTGTGTTTTGGACATTTTATAACTGATTTTAACCAACCTTTGCTACACATGGGATTAGTGTGTCAATTTTACATTAAGCTTAATGAAAATTTCAAAATAAAAGCTGAATATTTCTCTCAGGCCTTTCAGAAAAACTAACTGCTTCAAGCATTTAGAATTTAGTCTCTCTTTGTGTGTCACACTGACATGAGAGTTGACCTTCTCTTTAGAACTACAATGACTGCAGGGTTGGACTACAACATGGCGGAACACTCCGTGCCTAGAGAGGAACTCTGAGCTGATTGGCAGAACTACAACATGCAGAACTGTCAGTTACTGCTGAGGAGAAATGAGCTGGCCATGACAAGTACTTGTTTTTTGGGAATTTAGAACTGATTTAAAAACACCATAGTTACACATGGAATTAGTGTTGCCATTAAAAATTAAGCTTAATGAAAATTTCAAAATAAAAGCCTTGACAATGTTTATATCAATTGCTGTTTGGAGCATTTTAGAACTGATTTAACCAAATTATTGTTACTTATGTGAATAGATTGGACATTTAAAACGAGGCTTACTGAAAATTTCAAAATAAAAGCCTTAAGATTCCTTTCTGGCTCATGCCTATTTTAGGGAAAATGGCTGCCTCAAACTGATTGAATTATGTCTCCCCCTGTCTGACTCAAAGCTGGCAGAGGATCCATTACCATAGCAACGGAACACAGCAGGGCCAGTGGTTAGGACTACAAAAACGCATCACTGTAGTTCTAACTATGGCAGAACTCAGAGGAAAAAGCTGGACTTTAGAACTGCTTGTGTTTTGGGCCTTTTATAACTCATTTTAACCAAGCATTGTTACACATGGAATTAGTTTGGCAATTTTAAATTAAGCTTTAAACAAATTTCAAAATAAAAGCCTTGACAATTTTTACATTAAGTGCTCTTTTGACCATTATATGTCTGATTTAACCAAATCACTGTTATACATGGGATTACATTGACCATTTAAAATAAGCATTCTGAAAATTTCAAAATAAAAGCCTTAAGATTCGTCTGTGGCTAATGCAGCACCGCAGGCGCTGCAATGATATTAGCTTGCATTATCTTTTCCTCTCAAGTTAGGGCACTGTGCATTAGCATCAGCACAAACATTAGCATTTCACTGTTCCCCACTAGTGCACTGCCGTAGGCAGTGCAATAAGATTATCCTGCATGATCTTTTTCTCTCAGGCATTAGCATTAGCCTTTTGCCTTAAATGAGGTATTAGCTGTTTCCTTTACTTATTACCCATGTTCAATAATTCATGCTTGTGACTATCCACGTGCTATTGATGACATTGCAGCTTTCTTTAGCATGGATGCTAATGTTTAGCATCAGAACGCTGGGTCCAAACGACGGGCACACTTTGGCAGGCCCCAGTTAAATTTCTTCAGGAATTTTCTAGTTAAATTATGTTAGTTTCTAATAGGCATCAGTTAAGTTAGATTTAGACTCATCAATATAATCAATATATAACTTTATCAGTAGGACTTTGTCTTTAGATATAACCATAATTTGACTAGAATTAGTCTATATAGCAGAATTTTTTGTCGTACATCACTTTCTTAAGAGTATATGTCATCTATTCATCTGAAAAATGTTTCTAGTTTATGAAAATCATGGATGTAGAAAACTAATCAGAAAATATTGAGTGTTGTAGTTGTTTCAGTATTGAAATTATCTGTTATATGAGTTTAATGATATTATTGAAACGTGTGCTAATTTGTAGAATTGAAATCTGCTGTTTAATGTAGTAATGTTGGGTCAAAGGAGAGTCAGGAGCTGGTTGGGAGCAGCTTGAACAGATGAAAGTAAATTCTGTTCCACGCGCTTTGTGTAGAAAATGTTTTCGCATTGAATAGCTCATGCATTGTGCTTCGCTTGGAATAACTATGGTAAGGAGATGTGAGAGGATGACTTGGATAGCGGATAGATTCATTTGGGATTAAAATACCAGTAAAACCAGTAAACCTTTTGTTGATGCAAACACAAGAAACTCCCACTTGGTGACTTTGTGTTTTTTGTTTTATTATGATGTGAAGCACAATGAAATGCCTTGGTACTGAAATGTGCTATACAAATAAATTTGATTGATTGATTTGATTGATAATGTGACACCTGCATTGTATCCAGGCAGAAGTCTCACCCACTGCCTACGTGTTGCAGACGTTCTGCTGGGATGTAGGATGAGTCCACCTCCAAAGAGTAACATCAGACAGCAAAAACCCACCTTCATGTACTTTGATATAAAAGTAGTTTTATAGCTCGTTCACTGGTCTGTTTTTTTGGGTCGCATCTTCAGGAGAAATGTCTTCCTATTTTTTGCATTTCTCTAAGGTAATGTTTTCTTTTGGTTTTGGTTTCTAAAGGCCATGTTGAGACATGACTTATCGTGCACCATTACTGTCCACTGAGTCAGGAATATTGGTGGCCAGGAAAATACCACACACAATCACGCAAAAAATTTGAAAAAGAACACAGTGTTTAATTCAACACTACGACAGCCACTGATACAGTGCCTTGCGAAAGTATTCAACCCCCTTGAACTTTACAACGTTTTGCCATTTTCAGGTTTCAAACATAAAGATTTAAAATTGTTATTTTGTGAAGAATCAACAACAAGTGGGACACAGTTATTAGGTGGAATAAAATTTATTGGATTTTAAACTTTTCTAACAAATAAAAACTGCAAATTGTGATGTGCAAAGTTATTCATATCCATAAAATGTCTGGTTTAAAGACAAGCCACCTGGGAGACTCCAACCATGGAAGAAGGAGCTCTGGTCAAATGAAATCAAAATCAAACTTGTTGACCATAATGCAAAATGAAACACAACTCATCAAAACGCACCATCCCCACTGTCAAACATGGTAGTGGCAGCATCATGGTCAGGGCCTGCTTTTCTTCAGCAGGGAAGATGGATGGAGCCGAATACAGAACCATTCTGGGAGAAAACCTGTTAGTCTGCAAAAGACCTGACTTACCTTCCAAGTCTGAGGAGATTTACCTTCCAACAAGACAATGATCCAAACATAAAGCAAAACCTACAATGGAATGGTTCACAAAGAAACGCATCCAGGTTTTGGAGTGGCCAAGTCAAAGTCCAGACTTGAATCCAATGGAGAATCTGTGGAAAGAACGGAAAATGGCTGGTCACAAGCGCCCTCCATCTAACCCCACTGTTGTTCTGCAAGGAAGAATGAGCAAGAATTTCAGCTTCTTGATGTGTAAAACTGATAGAGACAAAAACCAAACAACTTGCAGCTGCAATTGCAGCAAAAGGTGGCGCTACAGATCAGAGACTTCCTCACCAACAGGCCTCAGGTGGTGAGAATAGGTGGCTCAACATCGTCCCCACTGGTCCTCAACACAGGCACACCGCAGGGCTGTGTGCTCAGCCCAGCTCTCTTCACCCTGTTTACACACGACTGCGTGGCCATCCACCCCACCAACACAGTTGTGAAGTTCACAACAGCAGGGGGTCTCATTTCAGACAACGAGACCCCCTGCAGAGAGGAGATTCAGCAGCTCACTCAGTTCAGCAAACAACTTGGTGCTGAACACAGGGAAGACCAAGGAGGTCATTCTGGACTACAGAAGGTCCAGGAGGACGGATCACACTCCCCTTCTCATAGATGGAGAAGAGGTGGAGCGTGTGGACAACATCAAGTTCCTGGGCCTCCACATCACGTCTGACCTCTCCTGGAATACCAACACCTCCCACCTGGTGAAGAAAGCACAACAAAGGCTCTTCTTCCTCAGGAAACTGAGACGGGCTGGACTTTCCTCATGGCTGCTCCTGAACTTCTACAGATCGAGAGCGTCCTCCGTGTGGTATGGCAGCTGCACAGCACTGGAGAGGAAACAACTGACACGGGTGGTGAGAACGGCACAAGGCATTGTGGGATACCCCCTCCCGGACCTGGACTCTATTTACATGGACCGGGTCAAGAAGAGCTGGATCCATAGTGTTAAAACTTAGAGGAATAACTTCACTTTGCTCGCTAATTTTCCTCTAGTTTCCCAGATTCAGGACTCTGCATGTGCAGTGGAAATAATAAGCAACCATTCGACATCAGACTTCAGATATATCTAGAGCTTTATCCAGAGAATTCAATGCATACAGAATGTTTCATCAGCATCACACCCAGATCATCAAGAAGTCCACATGACAAAATATAGAATTACCTGCAACGAGTTGAAAAGGAAAGACAAAAATGCATTTTTGGGAATTGCTCACTCGGACACAAACAAAGCAATTCGATCTTCTGCCGTAAAACAGACCTTTTTATAAGGACGCATATTCCCTTCATTTAAATATATGCATTAGAAGGCGTGTCCTCCCCTTGTAGGGCTGTTTAATGTTAATTTTATTACCCTGCTTGAGACCTGCTGAAATCCAAAGGCAAATATATGGAGAGCACAAAGCTCATCCTCAACCAGTCTTCCCGTACCAATCTCCTCCTTTTTACATTCCAGACCAGAATTTATAACCTGCAACCTGGCCTGGTGGTTTTCTGCCTCAGTGATTCAACAAGAAACTGATTTCAATTTTAAACAAACTGGCACAAAAATCTAATGCCAAATAATAACTATGAGATTGGATCTAAAAACTGCAGGGTTGTCTACTTTTAGAAAAGCTCTTTTAGAATACCTGAAATATTTTAGAAGTAAAATAGTTTTCCTAATTCTATTGTATTTCATTAATATACTGAAATTATAATATATTAGAATTATCGTTGGATAATTCTAACACATAGAGCGAGAGAAAACAGAATGAAAGTGGGTTTGTCTAGTTTTGTTCCTCACTATTTATTGGCCCACTGCAGCCACTGCCATTTCTTAAACAACAAAAAATGAACTTAAATTCTCTTTTGTTCATAGAACATGACGAGGTTTACAGCAGTCATCAAACTGTGGCTCCTACAACCTATTTAAGGCAAAATGGTTGAACAATATGAGAAAAATTAGCTCTTTGTTGCATTTTGACAGAACTAACAGAAAGCTATTTATAGATTTATATCAAAGAATGTATGCATTGTCATGTTGGGTTCATTTGGACTTGAACCTTGCGAGCCACATAAAGACAGTTACAAAGTCGGCCTTCTATCACCTGAAGAACATCTCCAGGATTAGAGGACTAATGTCTCAGCCAGATCTAGAGAAACTCATCCATGCGTTTATCTTTAGTCTCATTGATTATTGTAACAGTGTCTTCACAGGCCTGTCCAACAAATCAATCCTCCAGCTGCAGCTGATCCAGAAGCTGCTGCTCCTGTTCTCACTAGAACCAGGAAGATAGAGACATAACAGCAGTTTTAAAGTCCCTCCACTGGCTCCCTGTAGCTCAAAGAATAGATTTTAAAATACTGTTGTTAGTTTATAAATCACTGAACAGTTTAGCACCACAATACATCAAAGATCTGCTGTTGTTGTATCAACCTTCCAGACTCTCAGGTCTTCTGGTTCTGGTTCTGCTCTGCATCCCCAGAACCAGAACCAAGAGAGGAGAAGCAGCTTTCAGCATCTATGCACCAAAAATCTGGAACAAACTTCCAGAAAACTGTAAAACAGCGGAAACCCTGACTTCCTTTAAATCTAAACTAAAAACCAGCTGATAAGTTTTATTTGAAATGTAATATGGAACAATGTATTGTTTATTCTATGACTTTGTGTTTATGATGTAAAGCCCTTTGAAATGCCTTGCTGAAATGAGCTATACAAATAAAATTAGATTTTTTTGTCACGTGTTTTTGACCCCTTTGACCTAATCAACATGAAGGTGTGTCCAAAAACTGAAGACATGTTGACATGATGTGGTTTCCAGCTGACCCGCTTCGGTGAAGGATGTGAAGTGTGGAAACGTCACAAATGACACCATTACCGTAAGTTTGGCTAAATTCCACAGATCCGAAACTCACTGGGATCGATCCTTATCTGACCCCCAACAGAAATCCTCAACCATCTTTGGTGAGCGTGGCCTAATTACAGCGCCCCCTACAATACTTTAAATACACAAACTTCAGAATCATTCAGCACAGTCTTGAGGCATTGAAGACCAAAAGTTATTGTTAGGGTTAACACCTGTTAAAGATACATTAACAAAGAGAAAAGACAAAAGAGTTGGATTTTTTTTTACTCGCGAGGAGAACGGACAGAGATGTGCTTCAGTTACAATCTCCTACCGCTCTGAAGCACATTTTGTCTGCTCCTCTATTTTATTGTTTCTAGGATCCCTAATCACAAGGACGCTGTAGCTCTAAAGGGAGGGGGAACAACTCATCAAATAGCTACACCGTCAAATGTTATTCACTAACTAACACACAATCATTCTGCACTAGATAATGTCCTTCCAGGCACAAAGATTAATAAAATATGTAGTGATCTTAGCAATGATGGATTGGAGGCCAGCAACTCAACCGAAGCAGAGCTCTTCACCAAGAGGTAAACCTGCAGGAAGATTTTGTTCTGCTCTCTGTCAGTGAGGCCTTCTGAGAAAGGAATCAGAGCAAATCAACAATACAAGAAACATTCTTAATTCTATAATGAGATTAACTTAAAGGAAAGCATAAAATAAATATACATTATAAAGATCAATGAGAATAACAATAATTGATTAATAATATCACAATTTCTCCAACAGTTATGAAAAATGTTTGCACATCTAAGCATGTGGGCGTGGCCGACCCTGAAATCTGACCATTGCCCATGAAACATCAAGGTGCAATAACTTCTACATACAAGGTCACAGCTGCAGTGATCAATGCAATACTCTTAATGTGATGATCTTGGTCTGTTTAGGTTTGTGTCCACTTTGCTTTAGAGCTTCCTTGCATCTATTTCACCATCCTATGGTAATCATTCTACTTCCCTACATTTTATAGATGCTGTCTTCCACAGCTGTTCCTGATTCCATAACAAATGTATTTGAATTCAATGTCATTTTCTCCTTATTACTCAGTAGAAAAGGTCACTGGTTTTCATTGTTCTGGCTGGTTACTCACAATGGCCATACTTTATGTGATCCTTCTCATGGATGACTTAAAGCTGCATGCCAAGAAAATCTGGAGAAGGATCCAGAACCTGCCCTCTTTTAACACAGGTGGACTGAAGCTGGTTTTTCAGTCTTCAGGACGGCCGACTGCTCTTGTCCTCTGCCACGGGGAACACAGTTCTGGACAGAAAAGCAGAAGTGGCAACATCAGCCGGTTTGGTCCGGTTCTAATCACTTCTTGCGGTACGTAACTCTTCACGCTATCAGGAAAACGTCCTTGGCCGAATCCTGGAAGATTCTGCAACAACTTGAACACGTTGTAAAAAAGTGACAAAAGCGAGAACAGACAGTGACTTACTCCAAAATGTCCACTTCACACAAACAAAGTGAAGGTATATAAAGTCTGTGTTTCCATCTCTGAGACATCCTGACCAGAAACTGCTGCTGGAACAGACTCTTCAACTAACCATCAGAACAAGGTAACATTTAAAGTCCTACTGCTCATGGTGATGTTTTATGTCTTGGTTGAGTTGATCTGTGATGCTAATTATGAACTTTCCTAACCATTCTTTCTACAGATGGCTGCCGGTCTTCTCTTCTCTCTGCTTCTTGGTCTGAGCTTTGGACTCTGGGATGGAGCTGATGTAAGTATGGAGAAGGACTTAAGACAATGACTGGTATGTCCCTGTTGGGAGCTTTGGCTGACTGACGTAGATCAGATGGAGCAATCTGAGCCATCACTTGGTTGATGAGAAAACTTTGTTTTGTTGGGAATTTTGTTCTAAAACTTTGGGTTTTCCATCCACAGGCATGTCAACTGAAAGGTACGTGATTCTTTTATTGTTGGAGTTTCTAACACCTAAAAGACAATTTTATTGTGAGAAGTTCGTTGAAAAGATGGGAAACTTTTGCTATATTGGGTCATCCTTTCAGCAAAATTACAGGCCTTAATTTCTGTATAATGTAAATTAATAAATAGTTTATTTATTACTTATTGTATAGAAACATCCCATCCCACAAGGCGGATAGACAACAGTAGTTTTTACTGAAGGCAAATTATTTTCTGAATAAAATAATCAGATCCAATAAATGTGTCATTTCAGAGGCTTTTCATGTGAAAATATTTTTGTAATGACTGTCATCTAATAAAACTTTTGGTTGAAGTGGAGAATTATTAGTTGATTACTGATTTAACATTGATCATGCTTTTTTAAAATAATTAACTGACATAATTCCTATTTTCATTAGATGGCATTTCTCATGTTTTTATGTATTTTTACCATAATGTTTGCAGCTGAACATCTTGACTTTGTTTTGTGTTTTAATTATGCTGATCAGTGGATGGATGCATTTACTTTCCCAGTTGCCGACTGCGATAAGTGCACCCAGGTTGGAGTTGGCTTGAGGGTCGGTGTTTCCTGCATGTGAACATTGAAATGACCTGGGGTGTGCAGAGGTACAACAGATGTGATGATCTCAGCAGATTTCCTACATTCAAAGGAAATGTAAATTTATTGATATAAAGACAATAAGATTCACCAACAACAAGGTTCCAGAAACTGATTTCCATTAAACAAATAGATCCATAATTTCTAAAGGTTGATATTCAGCTGCACCAACTGTCTCACTGCACAGAGGAAAGTTTAAACCAGTGTTGCCTTTTTCAGAAATTCTGCCTCACAATGGATTCACATCTGACCTCAATAAACACCTTACATGAGTACCACTTCATCGAGAGCTGCCTTCAATGCAACTGGAACACACAGACAAACTTGGGTTGGAGGTCATGATTCAGCACAGGTGAGAATTTAAAAACATACAAATATCTCCGTTTGGTTGATCACTTTTTCTGTCAAGATGTATTTCTCATGGCTCTTTTTGTAAAAGCTTTGAGACGACATTTGTTGTGAATTGTTGTCATATTAATAAACTGAATTGAATTGAACAGGTGTTCCTAATAAAGTGGTTCTGTTGGAGATTCTGGTTCACATTTTCTATGAGATGGCAGAAGTCTAGGTTGGTTCTGTGTGATTTGTTTCCATTGCAACTTTAAACTAAGATGTTCTTTCAGGATGGCATCTGGTTTTGGAGTGATGGCTCCAAGTTTGTATTTCATCACTGGGGCGATGAGGAGCCAAACAATTTTGGTGGAAACGAAAAATGCATGGACATCAACATATTTGGTATTTATTACTGAAAATACACAACCTAATTTAATAATGTTGTTTAAATGCATGTTTTTATCTTTGTATCTGGTGTCTTAGTAAGTAGGAGTTTGTCCTGTAATTGGTGGGTTCCTGGTTCGAACCCCCACTCCATTCATGTCCGTTGTGTCCTTGGGCAAGACTCGTCATCTGCCCTGCATGCTTTCTGAAACCAATTAAATTATGTCAAAGTCTTTGTCAAATGTTTTGCAGTCAGGATTTGTCTCTTTGTGTCTTTACAGGACGAGAAAATTAATGATAATGAATGTTCTAAGAAGCTTCGCTTCATCTGTGCCAGATCGCTGTAACCTTCTGATGCCAAATAATCTGAACCTGGATGTCAAGCTTCGATGACATCACTGGAAGAACCTGATTTCACTTGATTTGATCCCCTGAAATAAATGTTTTCTTTCTCTGAAATCTGATTGATTTAACTATAGGATTTAAAATATATCAAGATTCCACTAATTGGTAATATTTCTAAATCTCAGCTATAATTTGTACTGAAAATTATCAGTGTATCAGTGCATTAGTAAAGTAATAGAAATTAAAATATGAAGTTTTCACAAACACTGAACCACATGTTTTGAACAAATTCACTCGTGTCACAAATATTTACACCTTATGAAACCTTGTAAAAATGTTTGTCATCATAAACCTCTGGAACACCAGAACATCTTTAGTTAAAAATCTGTTGACCCCAAGCAGGATACTGCAGATGGGTCGTTATTTACAGCAGGATGATGAACCAACATGGTAAAAATTGGTAGAATCAACTTTCTACCATGGTAATCCCATCGCTCAGACCAAAGTCTGACATTACAGCCTCATTGACGACTGTTTGTTAAGCACTGAGGAGTTATCTGAAGTTTGTATATCAGATATTGTCCAAGTGTCATTTGGAGTCTCCATATGACAGTGGCGGAAAACTATTTCCCAGAAAACTGCAGAACCACAGCTTGGGTGGGAGTGCTACTGGCTCACCAGTCATTGATTGTAATAGTTATTGATTTCAGCTTGAACTCATGCAAATGGCATTTGGAGTCTCTAAGCGGAGACTCCAAATGGCACTTGGACAACATCTGTACATCCTCAAAATAAAACATGTCCAAAATGACATTTCTTTTTGTGCTTGATCAGTCTTTAGATCCAAGAGCAGAATACTCTGTTCTACAGATTTATTGTATTTTCCAGTTACATTCAACACTCAAGGTGCATTTACAAGAAAACAGGAAAAATCTGGATGGAGCAAAATCTTTCAATTTCTTTTGTGTTACAAATGTAATGGGCTACAAACTACTTACAATTAAAGTATTTTTGACGGCAAAAATAGAACATTTAGCTATTCATCTTCATAAAAAATAAGCTAAGTAGTCCAAATTGTTCAAGAACAAGCAGCTTAAATTTGGGTATACCTTTTCAGCCGTTTTGGGTGATTTTGGTACCGCCAGGTAAGGGATTAACAGTTTAGTCTTAGCTTGGTGCATTGTGACAGAAAGCAGAATAAGCTTATGACAATAGTGGAAGAAGAAATTCAGGAAGTTAAAAATCTGGCAGCAAGCTCAAGAACTGACAATGAGCAGTTGCAACAAGGATAGACTAGTTCAAGTGCTCTGCCGATCATTTCTTCAGCATTGCCTAATGCCCCTCGTACATATTTATCTTAGGACCCTTCTAAAATATTTGAGATGATCCAGGAATTGTGTGGTTGTATGTTGCTGTTCCAGAAGCCTTTTTTTCCAGAAAACAGCAGGCAGAGAGTCTTCAGGAGTTCTCCTCACATTAATGGGGTTTTATGGAGAGCGAAGCAGTGTGCACCTGCTGGCATGTTAAAATCTGAGACTCTGTTAAGAGACCAGTTTACTGTGTAAGTTTGGACAGTTCCCTTTATGGTGAGTTGAAGCAGTTGGTGCGCACACAGCCGGATCGCTCTCTGCTTGATGCTTGTGCTGCAGCAATCCAGTGGGAGCATGAATGGAGGTGCCTCATGGTGTGAGGAGCCAAAGACAGTCGGTTCCGTCAGTCTATGGAGTCCAGTTGGGGGTTCATGGTGGTCCTCAGATAGCTGAAATGTGATTTATAATCAATAATTTACCTTGATGAGTTACAAGAAAACTACAAGTGGAGTCTTGCTTTGTCCTGCATTCCCTTCCCCAGTGTGAGTCTGACCTTTGGTAGCTTGATTTGCATAGGGAAGTGATAACGACATCCTGCAAGCCCTGACCAAGTTAGAAGGCAAGAACCAAACTGTGGAGTAAACAGGAGATGAACCAAATGGTTGTTAATAGGCCTCAGTGGGATTGAATGTCATAGAGCAGTGCAGACCAGGGTTGTGGTCCACAGAATTGGAAACTGTTGGGAAAGCAGATTGTTATTGAAGACAGTACTGGATGTACGAGAACTGTGAAAAAGGAAAAAGAGAAGAAAGAAAAAGAGGTAAGAGAAAATTTATAGGCGCTAATTATTCAAGAAGGGAAAGAAGTTACTGATGAAGTTCCTTTAGGACCTTTGTTATTATGTGCCAGAGTCCAGGGATGTGCTGAAAAGTATGAGGAGGCAGGACAAAATGAAGACTGAGCTAAATTTTGTCAAAAGAGTACACTTAAAAACACAAAGCGATCCAGGAGAAAATTAGAAAGTTCTGTTCAGAGCTAGCAGAGCTTTGGCAAGGAACTTCACCTTACAAAAAGACAGAAAGCATGGTGGAGTTGTTGAAAAAAGTCATGACCTTGAACCCCCTCATAAATCCTCAACTCCTAGCTTGTATCTTGTTTTAACTGTTACATGATGCTGAGTCTAAGTTCAAACAATCCATTTACTTCAACTGGATCTCAGGGACCTTCTCTGTCAGGTGTCTCCAGGGGAACATCTAGTAGTCAGGGAGGTTATGTACAGCCATTTCATGATAGAATAGCAAGAAAATGCCGTTGAGAGCACAACCATTTTATAAAATGGTGGGCCGCCATTTTTACCAGTAGCTCGTCCCGTTCCACCACTGCAGATTGTTCCAGCCAGAGGAGCTCCCTCCAGGGAGTACCCACCTCAACAGACTGGTAGTACAGCCCCTGTAATGCTAGAGGCTAATCTGCTGGGGCACTGGGTCCTGATGCAGCAGCTAACAGGGTTACAGAGTCGACATTCAGCAGCATCACATCACAACCAGAAGTAGGATCCAGAACCTGCCCTCTTAACACAGGTGGACTGAAGCTGGTTTTTCAGTCTTCAGGACGGCCGACTGCTCTTGTCCTCTGCCACGAAGTCCTTCTGGCATGACAGATCCCACTTCTCACACCAAGCATGTGGTGGAAACTCCTTATCAAACAGGAAGACAAACTACTCAAGAATTGATCAAGTTTCAACTTTATCTTTCAAGTGTTTTATTTGAAGGCAGTCAACAGACTGAATCCAACAGAGTCAGGAAAAGCAGAGCAACATCTCACAGATACGTCCTTTTTTAATCCACTTCTGTTATCAGAGAGTACATTCCATACAAGAACACAGTTCTGGACAGAGAAGCAGAAGTGGCAACATCAGCCGGTTTGGTCCGGTTCTAATCACTTCTTACGGTACGTAACTCTTCACGCTATCAGGAAAACGTCCTTGGCCGAATCCTGGAAGATTCTGCAACAACTTGAACACGTTGTAAAAAAGTGACAAAAGCGAGAACAGACAGTGACTTACTCCAAAATGTCCACTTCACAGACAAACAAAGTGAAGGTATATAAAGTCTGTGTTTCCATCTCTGAGACATCCTGTGACCAGAAACTGCTGCTGGAACAGACTCTTCAACTAACCATCAGAACAAGGTAACATTTAAAGTCCTACTGCTCATGGTGATGTTTTATGTCTTGGTTGAGTTGATCTGTGATGCTAATTATGAACTTTCCTAACCATTCTTTCTACAGATGGCTGCCGGTCTTCTCTTCTCTCTGCTTCTTGGTCTGAGCTTTGGACTCTGGGATGGAGCTGATGTAAGTATGGAGAAGGACTTAAGACAATGACTGGTATGTCCCTGTTGGGAGCTTTGGCTGACTGACGTAGATCAGATGGAGCAATCTGAGCCATCACTTGGTTGATGAGAAAACTTTGTTTTGTTGGGAATTTGTTCTAAAACTTTGGGTTTTTCATCCACAGGCCGGATGTCAACTGAAAGGTACGTGATTCTTTTATTGTTGGAGTTTCTAACACCTAAAAGACAATTATATTGTGAAGTTCTTTGAAAAGATGGGAAACTTTTGCTATATTGGGTCATCCTTTCAGCAAAATTACAGGCCTTAATTTCTGCATAATGTAAATTAATAAATAGTTTATTTAGTACTTATTGTATAAACATCCCATCCCACAAGGCGGATAGACAACAGTAGTTTTTACTGAAGGCAAATTATTTTCTGAATAAAATAATCAGATCCAATAAATGTGTCATTTCAGAGGCTTTTCATGTGAAAACATTTTAGAATAACTTTTATATATTTTTATCATATTGTTTTATGCAGCAGAACTCCTGGTTTGTGTTAAAATGATGCTGATTATCAGATCTATGTATTTACCTTTTCTCTTCAAATTTTTCAGATCCCACAGCATTTGACTGCCCTGCAGGTTGGAGTTGGTTCGACCGTCGCTGTTTTGTGGTTGTAACTTTTCAAAAATCCTGGGCTGCAGCAGAGGTACAACAGATGTGATGATCTCAGCAGATTTCCTCAATTCAAAGGAAATGTAAATTTATTGATATAAAGACAATAAGATTAACCAACAATAAGGTTCCAGAAACTGATTTCCATTAAACAAATAGATCCATAATTTCTAAAGGTTGATATTCAGCTGCACCAACTGTCTCACTGCACAGAGGAAAGTTTAAACCAGTGTTGCCTTTTTCAGAAACATTGCCAGCATTTGGATTCACATCTGGCCTCATTCCACAATATAGACGAGTACAACTTCATCAGACAGCTTATCTTCAAAACAACTCAAGCACACACAAGAACCTGGCTTGGCGGTTATGATTCACCAGGGGTGAGAATTTAAAAACATACAAATATCTCCATTTGGTCGTTTTCTGTCAAGATGTATTTCTCATGGCTCTTTTTGTAAAAGCTTTGAGACGACATTTGTTGTGAATTGTTGTCATATTAATAAACTGAATTGAATTGAACAGGTGTTCCTAATAAAGTGGTCAGTTCAGTCAAAGACATTCCAGTTGATTCTGGTTATAATGCAGTTAACTGCAGATTAGAATATCAGTTGGTCAACAGTTACCTGAGGAAGAAACCCAGTTTGTTGTATTGAATAACTGACTATGCTAAACTCCCTCATGCTGAGGAAGCATGTGGCAACAGTGGAGAGGAATAAGAGGAGACCTCCAACAGAACCAGAACCGGCTTCTGTTTTTCCTCCGGCTGCTCTGACCAGCTGAGGGTTTAAATATCAATGATCCAAACACAGTTCATGTTTTCTATAGTGAGTGGCAGAAGTCCAGGTTGGTTCTGTGAGATTTATTTGCATTGGAACTGAAAACTAAGATGTTCTTTCAGGAAGGCATCTGGTTTTGGAGTGATGGCTCCAGGCTTACTTTTACCAACTGGGCAGCCGGTGAGCCAAACAATGGTGGTGACAAAGAACACTGCATGGACATGAATGTACAAGGTATTTATTACTGGAGTTACACAATCTGTAATTTAATAATTTTGTTTAAATGTATGTTTTTACAACATCTCTGGGTCCAGTGGGTTAGAAAGGCATCTGTATTGTAATTGGTGGATTCAAAGTGTTGGAGACTTTCACATCTCCAGTTATGGTTGATGATGCCAGAAATTCCAGAAGCGTCAGTGAGTTAAAATCAACCAAAATGTATTCAAAGTACAATATAACTTGGAGATCCAAGTATCAAACATGCGTACAGTGTTACCCAAAGGCAATCCCAGTGAAATCTGAAGCCCTTTGTCTGTGTCTCCCACTATGCATCCTGCCAATGACTGTCCTGATCCGCTCTGTGCCGCCTCTCCCTTGGCTCAGAGTTAGGTCATCCCTTTGTTTTAAGGCCAGTAATCATAAATAATTTTATTGGGCTACACAGCAAAGATGACCACTTTGAAGCAAACATCTCTGATCATTAACCAGTCTCAGTGTCATAACTGGGACACAGTTATTAAGTTAGTGGCCATTTGTTTCATTTCCTCTTTGATCCACATTTGGTTACTGTCTTGTAGCCTTGAGAAGTCTGCATGGTCCCGTTGTCACTTCCCTATGCAAATCCTTTACCAAAGGCCAGACTCACCATGGGGGGGGGAACGCAGAACAAACCAAGACTTGTAGTCTCCTTGAATCTTATCAAGGCAAATTGATGCTTATACATCAAAGTAACATTCAACACAAATCATTTTAGAATATTTCCACAGAACCCCCACTCCATTCATGTCTGTTGTATCCTTGGGCAAGACTCGTCATCTGCCCTGCATGCATGAAACTGATCAAATCATGTCAAAGGTTTCCAATCAGGATTTGTCTCTTTGTCTCTTTACAGGACGAGACTTTGTGAACGATGATGTCTGTTCCAAGCAGCTTCCCTTCGTATGTGTTCTGCAGCTCTAACCTTTCTCTTCTGATGCCTAATAATCTGAACCGTATGGCTTTCCTGCTGGTGATGTCACTTCCACCTGGATGTCAAGCCTCGATGATCACTGCTGGAAGAACCTGATTTCACTTGATTTATCACTTAAATAAATTTTTTTCTTTCTCTGAAATCTGATTGATTTAATTATAAGATTTAAAAGGTGTCAGGATTCTAATTAAGCATCAGCTATAAACTAATTGGTAATATTTCCAAATCTCTGTTACAAATTTGTACTGAAAATCATCAGAATATCAGTGCATTAGTAAAGTAATAAAAATCTATAAAATATGAAGTTTTCACAAACACTGAATCACATGTTTTGAACAAATTCACTAGTGTCACAAATATTTTACACCTTATGAAACCTTGTAAAAATGTTTGTCATCATGCTGTATGCTGATGACCTGGCTCTTCTCTCACCCAGCAGTGCTGGTTTTCAGCAGTTACTGAATATCTGCTCTGATTATGAGTTGAGATTTGATGTGCAGTATAATGCCAAGAAAACTGTTGTAGTAGTTTGTAGGACTAAAGCTGACAACTTTGTTAAACTAAACATCTGGGTCACTACATCACAGTCCAGCTCTCTGATGATGATGATCGTCAGTGTCACGCCCAGGCAAACCTTCTGGAGAGGAAACTCCAGATGTGCTCTGATGAGGTGAAAATACATGTGTTTAAAGCTTACTGTACATCCTTGTATGCAGCTCCTTTGTGGTGTAAATTTAAAAAAGCTAGTATGCAGAAGCTTAAGGTTGCTTATAATAACAGAGAATTCTGAGATCAGAATTCTCTGATCTGCCTGCCGCAGTTTCTAACAGAAAAACATCGCCACTCATTTTGACTGTGATACATTAACACATGTTGCAAGTACATAAATGGAACAATGCAAATAAAACATTTTTCTCTTTAATGGAAAATCTCCTTTACAATTCCTCCCCTTTTTTCAGAAACAATCATAGAAATAACTAAGTAAATGAAACCTAGAAATAATAAAATAAGGTAAATGATGCTACAAGACAGTTGTGAAACAAAACATCAGTTTACATTCGTCATTAAGTAATGGTTTAAAGTATAAACATCACAGGAGTGTTTCAGCACGAAATTTAATGCTGTTTCCTCAAGGGACTGTCCTGACAGAGTGATTTTAAGCAGGATGAAAACCTGAAAATGCTACACTTCTAAATGATGCAAAAACACAATAAAAGTAAAAAAGGAAGTTTAAATTTACCTGTACTTGGGATAATGAGAAAACCTTGAGCATTGCAAAATAAACTTAACCTCAACATCAGGAGGGTCAGGGAAAGGGACATTGACCTCATCGTTTTCGATTTTGGGCCCATGGAATGTTGTTGTTGTTTTGCACTGGGAAGCGGGAAACCAGGGGGTGAATCAGAGATGGAAGATGTTTTGGGATCCTCCACGCGTATGCACACTTTTTTGTAGTGGGGCAATAGCAGTTGTTTTTGATCGATTTGGCATCCTTTATCCATGTGGGTGTTCTGGTGCAGTGATGTCTTGTCCCGACCATGTTCTTAATGCTGCCTCAGCTAGATGCTAGGTGAGCTATTAAGTGGGCCTCTGGTGATGTCCCTATTTTTCCAGGGGTTCTTTGTTGGAATCCCCTTGGTGGGCCTGGTCTTGTTTCAGTGAACTTCTTACAGTGGCAGGCATGGATTCAGGTGGACCTCTCTGCAACTTTCACCCTGGTGAGGGTGGCCAGGAAGACTTGGAATGGTCCCTGCCAGTGGTGGGATCACCAATTCTTCCTCCTGAAACTTTTTAATAAACACAAAATCTGCAGGCTGGAGGTTATGCAATAGTTTGCTCGCTGGCACAGGTTGTCCTCCTTAGATCTGCTTTCTGATGGTTTTTAATTGATCTAGAGAAATACAATAGTTAATCACTTTGTCATTGCATATTGCTAAACTATCTCCAGGTTTCATTGGTGGTCCTATTGCCATGTTGGGTGGTCCTGCAAAAAGGATTTCAAACAGTCAGAGATTGTGTTTTTGTTGGTGGTGCATGTGCATGTACATCAAAGCAATAGGGAGGGCTTGAACCCAGTTAAGATTTTTGTTCATTTGAGTTTTAAAGTTCCATTATCTCATTTTATCACTCCCCCAGTTTGTGGGTGGTACAAACAATGTTTTTTTTAAAATCCAAAATAAGCATTTTAGAGAGTTGTGTTAGAACATTTTGTGTGTGTCATTTTCACTGGAGATTGTTCTTGGCACTCCCCAGCAGCAGATCACCTCCTGTAGGAGGATCTTTTCCACTGTGAAGGCATCAGCTGTCTTAACTGAGAACGCTTCAAGCCATTTGGAAAGCATATCAACCATCACCAAACAATACTTTTTTCCTTCGGCAGAAGTTAGTTCAATGAAATCAATCATTAAATGTTGAAAAGATGCTGACTGTGGTGTGGGCTCCCACTCCTGTCAGTATGAGGCTTCTAGAATGTTGTTTGAGAAGCAAACTAAGAGGTTTTCACAAAAGATTTGAGCAAATTTAGGAAAGTTGACTGTAAACCAATTTAGATCCATTTTTCTTAACATACTCCCTTGTGACGCATGGTCGACTCCATGGGTCACAACACAGAAGGGATGAAAAAAATGTTTTGATAAGCAGAAATTTTGGTTTGGACCAATCCAAACTGAATGTTGGAGGGAAGACCTCTTTTCCCACCACTGTGTTTTCTCATGTTGAGTTGCAAAGGATTGGAAATCTGTGAGATCAAGAGTGGTTGGGGTGGAGGCTAGCGACATTGTGGTATCCAGAGGAAGTGTTGCTGCACATTTTGCCTCAGTGTCAGCTACTGCATTTCCTCTAGACACAGTCAGAGCCATTTGTGGGGCTGCATTTTTGATTACGGCAACAGTTTTAGGCTGAAGCACCATGTCCAACATTTCAGCAACAAGTTTGTGATTTAAGATGGGGGAACCATCAGAACGAAGAAAAGATTGTTGTTTCCATAAAGCACCAAAGTCATGAACTGCACCAAAAGCATGGCAAGAGTCTGTGTAAATGTTCACATTTTTGTCTTCAAAGAGAACGCATGCATTTGTTAGAGCCACTAGTTCCGCAGCAACTGTGGCCATTTTCTGCCAGGAAATGGAGTAATTTAATGCTTTCAGGAACACACAGATCATGAGTGGGAGCTGCCAGCAGAAGGTCATCAACATACTGTAAGCCAGCTGTTCGTGGTGCGAGTATCAGATGTGAAAGATTCTCATTCATTGCTTGGTGGAAAATGGTTGGTGATTCACAGTATCCTTGACATAATCTTATGAATGTGTAGAGTTTTCATCAAACGGAAATGCAAACCAGAACTGACTGTCTGGGTGAACTGAAACACTGAAAAAAGCATTTGCTAAATCAATGACTGTGAAAGACATGCTGCCTGTAGGGATTTGTGATAGGATGGTGTAGGGATTTGTGATAGGATGGTGTAGGGATTTGTGATAGGATGGTGTAGGGATTTGTGATAGGATGGTGTAGGGATTTGTGATAGGATGGTGTAGGGATTTGTGATAGGATGGTGTAGGGATTGTGATAGGATGGTGTAGGGATTTGGGACAATAGGTTCTCTAGGAATGACGGAATCTCTGAGATCTTGAACAAAACGCAAACTCTGACCTGCTTCTGTCTTATTTGTGCAGCAACAGTTTGCTTTGGTGCACTTCCACCTTTGTGCCACAACCCTCTGAGCATGGATGTGGCGCAAAGTGCGCTGACATGAAATTATGCAGAAAAATACAGAGACCTGTTAAGGAAAGTTGTGAGCATGGAAACAGACTTTATTCTTAAATGATTGAGCTTCAATCTATCACCTCTCACCTAAAATCTCTCCTCTTCCACTGAAGCTACTGCAGATCCATAGCTCTAGCTTAACATTTCACATACTGTTCTGCACTGTTATACTTTTGTCAATGCTATCTTCAGTGAGTGTAGGAAATTTTAGTATCCAAGAGCTGCACAGGATCTGTCAAAGCCTCGGATCGCTACCCCTGCACCGAAGGGGTAGCGGGTTGTTTGTTGATGGCTCAGCAGAAGCTTTCTAATTGTTTCCAAAAAGTCGAGGTGATCACAGCTAAACACGGAGCAGCCAGCATGAAATCAAAAGGAATCATCTGTAGACCTCTGTGACTGGACTGTCTTGAGACACAAATCTGGAGAAGGATCCAGAACCTGCCCTCTTTAACACAGGTGGACTGAAGCTGGTTTTTCAGTCTTCAGGACGGCCGACTGCTCTTGTCCTCTGCCACGGAGTCCTTCTGGCATGACAGATCCCACTTCTCACACCAAGCATGTGGTGGAAACTCCTTATCAAACAGGCAGACAAACTACTCAAGAATTGATAAAGTTTCAACTTTATCTTTCAAGTGTTTTATTTGAAGGCAGTCAACAGACTGAATCCAACAGAGTCAGGAAAAGCAGAGCAACATCTCACAGATACATCCTTTTTTAATCCACTTCTGTTATCAGAGAGTACATTCCATACAAGAACACAGTTCTGGACAGAGAAGCAGAAGTGGCAACATCAGCCGGTTTGGTCCGGTTCTAATCACTTCTTACGGTACGTAACTCTTCTATATCAGGAAAACGTCCTTGGCCGAATCCTGGAAGATTCTGCAACAACTTGAACACGTTGTAAAAAAGTGACAAAAGCGAGAACAGACAGTGACTTACTCCAAAATGTCCTTCACAGACAAACAAAGTGAAGGTATATAAAGTCTGTGTTTCCATCTCTGAGACATCCTGTGACCAGAAACTGCTGCTGGAACAGACTCTTCAACTAACCATCAGAACAAGGTAACATTTAAAGTCCTACTGCTCATGGTGATGTTTTATGTCTTGGTTGAGTTGATCTGTGATGCTAATTATGAACTTTCCTAACCATTCTTTCTACAGATGGCTGCCGGTCTTCTCTTCTCTCTGCTTCTTGGTCTGAGCTTTGGACTCTGGGATGGAGCTGATGTAAGTATGGAGAAGGACTTAAGACAATGACTGGTATGTCCCTGTTGGGAGCTTTGGCTGACTGACGTAGATCAGATGGAGCAATCTGAGCCATCACTTGGTTGATGAGAAAACTTTGTTTTGTTGGGAATTTTGTCCTAAAACTTTGGGTTTTTCATCCACAGGCATGTGAACTAAGAGGTATGTGATTCTTTTACTGTTGGAGTTTCTAACATGTAAAAGACAATTATATTTTGAGAAGTTCTTTGAAAAGATGGGAAACTTTTGCTATATTGGGTCATCCTTTCAGCAAAATTACAGACCTTAATTTCTGTGTTTGGTGTTAAAATGATGCTGATTATCAGATCTATGTATTTACCTTTTCTCTTCAAATTTTTCAGATCCCACAGCATTTGACTGCCCTGCAGGTTGGAGTTGGTTCGACCATCACTGTTTTGTGGTTGTAACTTTTCAAAAGTCCTGGGCTGAAGCAGAGGTACAACAGATGTGATGATCTCAGCAGATTTCCTACATTCAAAGGAAATGTAAATTTATTGATATAAAGACAATAAGATTCACCAACAATAAGGTTCCAGAAACTAATTTCCATTAAACAAATAGATCCATAATTTCTAAAGGTTGATATTCAGCTGCACCAACTGTCTCACTGCACAGAGGAAAGTTTAACCAGTGTTGCCTTTTTCAGAAACATTGCCAGAATTTGGATTCACATCTGGCCTCATTCCACAATATAGACGAGTACAACTTCCTCAGACAGACTGTCCTCAGATCAACTTTAAAACAGTCAAGATTTTGGATTGGCGGTTATGATTCAGCACAGGTGAGAATTTAAAAACATGCAAATATCTCCGTTCGGTTGATCACTTTTCTGTCAAGATGCATTTCTCATGGCTCTTTTTGTAAAAGCTTTTAGATGACATTTGTTGTGAATTG